TGCACCCCACCACCACCACGCTCCCCACCATCCCCATCCTAGGCCTTCAGTACCCTATTGTCTGTGTCCATGGGTTATGCATACATGCATACAAGGTCTTTGGTTGTTTACCTCCCACCAACCCACCCTCCCCCGCCTTTCCTCTGAGATCCCACACTCTGTTCCATGCTTCCATGTCTCTAAATTCACTTCATTCATCAGTTTATTTTGTTACTTAGTGTCCACATATGAGTGCAATCATGTGATGCTTGTCTTTCTCTGACTGGCTTATTTCACTTAGCATGATACTCTCCAGGTCCTTCCATGCTGTCTCAGAGAGTAAGGGTTTCTTCTTTTTTACTGCTGCATAGTATTCCATGGTATAAATGTACCACAGCTTTTTGACCTACTTATCTACTGATGGGCACTTGGGCTGTTCCCAGATCTTAGCTATTGTAAATTGTGCTGCTATGAACATAGGGGTGCATATATTCTGATTGGTGCTTTGGTTTTCTTGGGATATAGACCTAGAAGTGGGATCACTAGGTCAAATGGCAGTTCCATATTTAATTATTTGAGGAAACTCCATACTGTTTTTCCACAGTGGTTGTACCAGTCTGCATTCCCACCAGCAGTGCACAAGGGTTCCTTTTTCTCTGCATCCTCGCCAGCACTTGTCATTTGTTGATTTGTTGATGACAGCCATTCTGACAGGTATGAGATGGTACCTCATTGTCGTTTTGATTTGCATCCCTCAGATGATTAGTGACTTTGAGCATGTTTTCATATTTATTTTGATAAAGTCCCATTTGTTCATTTTCTCCTTAGTTTCCTTTGCCTTAGGAGATGTATCCGTAAACATATTGCTATGAGAGATGTCTGATATTTTGCTGCCTATGGTTTCTTCTAAGATTTTTATGGTTTCACAACTTACATTTAAGTCTTTTATCTATTTTGAGTTTATTGTGTATGGTGTAAGTTGGTGGTTTAGTTTGTGACTGTGTGAGTGTTGCATGTAGTCATCCAATTTTCCCAACACCATTTATTGAAGAGACTCTCTTGACTCCATTGTACGCTCTTGCCTCCTCTGTCAAATATTAATTGAACGTAATGGCTTAGGTCTATTTCTGGATTCTCTGTTCTGTTCCATTGATCTATACGTCTGTTCTTATGCAAGTACCAGGCTGTTTTGAATACGGTGGCTTTGTAGCGTATGAGGAAAGTACTTTTCTTTTTTTAAAGTACTTTTCAATGTAAAAGTACTTTACATTGAAAGTCTTTTGCCTCCTTGGTTAAGTTTATTCCTAAGTATTTTATTCTTTTTGATGCTATTGTAAATTGATCTAACTGGACAGAAAAGGGAGTGAGTGTAAAGAGATCCCATTTGGTAGGTAAGAAATAGAGTTGTCCAGGAAGAAGAGGTCCAAACTCAAGCAAAGAACAGGTGCCTTGAGCACAAGGCAGTAAGAGAGGTCATGATGGGAGAATGGAGGCCTCGTGTGTGATAAGGGGAAACCACAGGAGCGGGTGCTGACACGGCGTGGAAGCCAAGAACATTCCCGCTGAGGGTCCAGCCTGTGAGGCGAGGTAATGGACGAGCCCTGGACCCTGGTGGACACCAGCGTTGCCCAGGATGACGGCAGCATCTGAGGATGACTGGGGATGGGAGCGTTAAGGGAAAGTCCTCAAGGAACATGAATGAGTGGCCACACCAGGAGGGATAGAGAGGGGTCTGTCTCCAGGAGCAGGGGTTTTACCTGAGGAGGAGCACTGCAGGTTTAGAAGCCAACCAACGTCAACAGGAGAGTGCCACCCTGACTGGGGTGGGGAATGGGAGAAGGAGCCGCCTGCACGGGAGGGGCCACAAGGCCAGCAGCTGGGGCTCAGGAGAGGGGCTGGGCTGAGGTCATGCTCAGCTCTTGGCTATCACTCTCAAGTGTGTCTCTTCACTTCTCCATCTTGTATCCCTAGCATCTGGGATTGAGTAGGTGCTCAATAGAAATTTGAGGAGGCAGGAGGGAGGAAGGGAGGATACGCTGCAGTCCAATGACAAGCCCGCATTCATCCTGCTCTGTCCCTTGCAGGGCCCAGTGAGATCACACACCGCATCATTCCCACCATGAGACTGAATGAGCAAGAAGAAACTGGGAGAATTATTGAAATGCAACGCCTAGAAATCCAACGTCTCAGAGACCAGATCCAAGAACAGGAGCAGGTCCCGGGGTTCCACCCCATCAGTGGAGTTCGGCTTCCTTCCCTTGTAACGGCGGTTCATTCTTTGGCCAAGATGGACGCTGAGGTGTCCAACAAGTGACTCCCTCTGGTGAGCCACCTCCAGCCACACTGGAGGAAGCACTGCGCATCTGTCCCCAGGCCAACTCTGGGCTGCAGTCCCTGCGGCACTCCCCGCACCAGCCTCTCTCCTGTCCTGGGGAGTTGGAGACTTGGTCAGAATAAACGTGTTGGCCCACAACTGTGTCCAACTCTCTGCTTAGCCAAGGAGCTGGGGAAGGAAGAAGGGAAAGGGGGGACTCTGAGGACTGGGGGGTGTCTCCGGTTCATCCAAAGCCACCTCTCCCTGTGGAAATCACACTGGACTTGGAGCTGGTTCCTGCCACCCGTTCCTCTCTGGGCCCCACAGATGGGCCGCCTGCTCCCTCTTTAAGTATCACTTCCCGCATGTCTGGCCTGGCTTTCTCCTCTGTCAGCCAGAACAGGACCCAACACAGCCTCCTTCATTTCTTCTCCTTTATGAAACCTAAGGAGGTTTTCTGAGGATTTTTACATTTGTGTAAAGATCAGAGTAAAAGAAAGAACATGGCAAAGTTCCCTCAAGTGTCCCTTATCTGCTGACCCTGTTGTTAGAATTACAAGCAGAGCTCCACCCTTATTTCTCTCACCTCCATGCCACTCTAGACTTGTTCTCCAAGGTCTTACCCGCCCTCCTGCATTTCTGGGGGACACTTCTTCCTCTGGGCCCCATAATGGGTGACCCAGCCACACATACCAGAAAAGGTAGCTTTTACGCACTAAAGAGCAAAGCAATATACCCAGACGGCCCTGTCTTCTCCCACCTGCGGAGGCCAGGCAACCTTCTAATACCCAAATAACAAGCATTTAAGCCCCCGGTCCCTGCTGGTCCCTGCTGGCTCTTAAGTCTGGTGTCCCCAAGGCATCTCCCCAACTTCCCCGATCTGCTCCGGGCACCGCTCTCGAGTTAGTTTCCCCAGTGAGAGCCGAGGCATGGCTGTCACACTTGGCAAGTCTCTCCTGAGGGCTGGGGAGAGCAGAAAGAAGGCACAGGGCAGAGGCTGTAAAGCAAAGTGTACACAGGACTCTCTCTCCTTAGCAATTCCCCACCCCCACACCCTGTCACAGTGGCCAGCGTATCTCCTCCAGACCAGGCCGAGGAAGCAGGACAACATTCAGGCACCTGAGAGATTCACCCACTAGGACCACAGCCCAAGGAGATGGGCTCTGTGGGAGTCAGACTTCTCCATTCCCAGCCAGCACCTTGCCTTTACCTTTGTAGAGGAAACCGACTCAAAATGCGTTTGGGGAGGTCAGCAGGACCAGATGGCGCCGGGTGGTGAGGGCACGTACAGAGGCCAGCGCCGAGCCACCCAGAGTCCCTCCCCACCACCTCCCAGGCTCGTGACACACTGGCCCCCTTCCAATTCCTCCAAAAGGCCAAGTTCTTCCCTGCCTCCAGGTCTTTCCACACGTCACTCAGTCAACTTCCACTCATCCGTCAGATGATAACTGATATGTCGGGGGCTGTCCCTCCCCCGCCCGCCCCCACCTAAATTACACCCGCGGCATTGCTTCCTTTCATCACCCCCTGTGACAGATCCGTTCAGTTGTCAGATGCTGCCTCTCCTAGGTGCTCGTTCCATGGAAGCAAGACTCTTTCGGATTTTAAAGTTCACTTGGGTACCTGGGTGGGTCACTGATTAAGGGACCTAATAGTGGAGGCAGGGGACCAGTTAGGAGGACACTGTGGCTGACCACACGGGAGAGGACAACTGCTGGAACCAACATGGCGGCGGTGGAGATGCAGAGAAGTGAATCCTGACGTTAGGACCAGAGGGAGTTGTCCAAGCAAAGGGGTGGGGGTGGGGGAAAGACCCAGTAAGCAGGAACATGGGAAGAAATGGGCTCTTCTCAGGGCCAAAAGGAAATGAATTCGCTGTGGCTATGAAATAGCAACATTCAAATGAGATTTTTCAACTTAATGCCCTAGGATCAAGATATCACATTGCACCTGTAAATTGAGCCTTAGGTTACAGATGAGGAAACCAAAACCAAGGAGGAATGAAGTCACTAGTGCAGGGTCACACCAATGGAGCCAGGATTGCAGGCCATCTACCCAATGGCCTCCACATCCCATGATCTTAAGCCTGCCCTGGAGAGGCTCCCAAACAGAGCACTGGGCCAAGTGTTGGCGGTTTTAGGAGTGTGACCTTTGGAGAGTCCAACCCAGAAGTAAAAGGCGCCGACACCTGCCGGCTAAGCTTACCTGCTAGTAACCCCGAGGCTGGCTGTGGCCCAACTGGTGAGGAGGAGGCGGAGGAGAAAGCCCAGCCAAGGAGAACCCATCACAGCAGAACCTGGCCCTGTGGCCAGCACATCCACAAGGTGTTTTCTCAGCTGCACAAGGGTGAGCACAACTTCTTGCTGGCAAAGCTGGGGCCAGAGGATAATCTTGTTTTCCTCTCCATGTTCTGTCTTGTGTGTTCCTACATCAACCTGTTGGGTGGCATTGATTGGGCTGCTGCACCTGAGACCTCCTTCCACTTGGCCTGTGCTGACCCCATGGGGAGGGTCTCACCTCACGGTGCCACCTCCTCCTTCACAGGGTCTCTTCAGCCAGTTGACGCCTCACTGAGTGGGCCTGGTAGCCCCTCCTCCAGCAGCCTTAGGAACCTTGCTGGTCACTCAAGTGCCAGGCATTGGCATATGGACTCCACTCTCATTCTTCTGGTTGCAGTCCATCATTGAGCCCTGGGGACTCGTTCAATGCTGGTGTGACCACGGGTGCCTTTGGAGGCTGCCTTCTGCCTGGGCCCCGGACCACCCTGTGCTCTCCTGCCCTTCTTCTAGAGTCAGCATCAGCTCTGGCCACACCATGTGAGTTCCCAGCTGAGTCTCCTCTGCCACCCTGTTCTCCCAGCACCAAAGACCTGCCCATAGGAGGTTCTGGCATCAGTGTCTATCTCCTCCTCTGCCACCCTGTGACCCACCCAGGTACCCAAGTGAACTTTAAAATCCGAAAGAGCCTTGCTTCCATGGAACGAAGCATGATGCCCTCCATGATGCCCATAGGAGGTTCTGGCATCAGTGTCTATCTTTCCCCAAATAGAGTGTGAGCAGCCATTACCAACCAGCTGCTCCCAGGTAGTACCTAGGGACCCTGGTGAGCATGGGAATGACCGTGTGTCCAGGTAGGACCCCCCTGGCTCTCATTGCTCTGGATTTGGAGTGAGAGGTAAGGAGAAGACATATCAGGACCAGGATTGGGGAAAGGGAGGGAAGATTTCATAAGTTCCCTGCCCAGCTCTACCTGGGACAGCTGGACCATGGGTCTGCCCAGGATTGGCCCCTCCTTGGGGCCAGGAAGATAAATAAATATCAGACATGTGTGAGGGGAATACACAGCCAGCAAGCCTGCCAGGCCCCCTGCTCTCCTGCTCCTCCCACGGTAGGGGACACCTTTATAATGCTTTGCAAAGTGGCAAACCCACGTGGTCCCCCCCCCCCAGGCCCTGCCCCACAGTAGTCAGCCTACCCTAACTTTTCCCAGGGACAGAAGCACCCAGAGCTGCACCGTCCAGTAAGGGAGCCGCAAGCCACATGTGGCGATGGAGCACTTGAAACGGGGCTAGTCTAAGGTACACAACTCATTTTCAATAATTCATACAAAATGAAATAGCTCATTTAATCATTTGTATATTACAATGAAAATATTTAGGGGTTAAGTAAAAAGTTTAATGTAGTAGTGTCTGTTTCTTTTCACTGTTTCAACGTGGCTACTGGAAATTAAATTACATATGCAGCTCATGTTATATTCCCACTGGACAGCACTGCTCTAGAGTTGGGACTGACCCCCCAATCGTCTCCACAGCACAGAGCGAAGAGAAGCATGGACAGGTCAAGCATAAGTGCTTTGTGAGCTGCTGGTGGAAGGATAACTTTGGTTTTGTTTTCTTGTCTCTTTCAAACACTTCAGGAGAAGAGAGAGCAAGAGGCATTCATTTCAAGGATCTCAATCCAGGAGATGGGTGACGGCCTACAGCCAGCTCCAAGCAGCAACCGCCTTAGCCCACCCAGAGCACATGTGGTGTGTGGTGCCAGGCTCACCTGTTAGAAGCAGAGCCCTGACCATGTCCAGTTATACTTCAGGGCCCTCCATCGGTTCCTCAGATGAGACCCAGGACCTCACCATGGCATTCAAGGCCCAGTGCAGCTCATCTATTGAGCTTCATCTCACATGCTCCCTGCTCAAAACCCTGTCAGTTCACACTTCTGTTCATTCACCAAACATTTACTGACTACTGCCCATGTGCCAAGCACAGTGCTGGCTGCTGAGGTCATGATGGTTAGCAAAATAGGCATAAACCTATACCCTTTGGGGACCGCATGTCTAGTGGGGGCTAACAGGTAAGTAAATAAGGAAAATTACAGCACATGCATTATGAGCAGTTGTGGAGGAAGCACAGGGACCATGGGTGCATCAAAGAGGCACCTACACCAGACTTGAAGTCAGGGAGGGCTTCCTGGAGGAGGTAACATCTCAGTTAAAGAAGTCCTGTTGGCCAGACTGAGGCTGGGGGTGGTAAATATCCCAGGCAGAGGGGACTCTGGGTTCAAGAACTAACTGGAAGGGCAGAGCAGAGGGCAGAGCATGCTGAACTGAACTACATGCATTCTGGCTGGAGGACAGGGACCAGTGGCAATTAGCTGGCCTGGTGTGTATGGCAGGGGCTTGTGAGTCCAGTGAAGGAGTGTGGCATTTATCTGGAAGTTTATTCTGCAAGTGTTTTAAGCAAGGGAGTTCCTGTTTCCCACAGGAAGTGCCTTTACCCCTCCTTCCTGTGCAGGGAGCCGCGGGGGGGGGGGGGGGGGG